GAACGACCCCCCGAAAGTAACTAGCCCCCAAGGCTGCTAATTCCGAATTAACGCGGGTCGGATTTTTACGATCACATATGCAATTTGTACCGTGGTAAATCCTGCACAAGTGTCCCCTTCCATAAGCCCCTCCCAAGAGGCCATGATCCTTTGGGGGTGCATTCTGATGTGACAAGAGCAGACGGGAGGGGACGGGTTACAAGTGAAACGACTGAATTGGGTGAATAAAGGCCCCTGACCGTCCTTAGCACTTGTTAGAGAACCTTTTTCAAGGTATGGCAGTAACAATGAATGCAAAATATTATGTTAAAGTTTATATTAAAAGTTGTTGAACATAATTTATGACTGAACCTTTTTTTCCACCACTGCACCCCCAGTCCCACCCAGGGACTATGTCACGCCCTGTCACGCCAGGTTTTGGCGCGCACAACACTCTGAAGTGCTTATGGTATAAACATTGCTCGGATAAAATCATGGAACCACTTCACATCACTACACCATTAATCGAGAGTCACGCTCTAAGCAAATTGACGGGATTTCCTGTTTACTTGAAACTGGAGAACGTTCAGCCCGTGGGTTCATTCAAGATTCGAGGAGTTGGTAATTTGTGCCAAAAGGTTTGAAACCATTCATGTTACATACAAGCTTCCAAGAACTTCTTTCTTTTCTGCATAATTGTAAACGGGTCCGTCCTGTTTTAATGATTTGAAAGTCCGTCTATGTACCAAACAATTGTTTATTTCGATATTTTAACTGCAATTGATGCGAATATCGTTTTCAGAATGGGAAGAGCAAAGATTACGACAGATGTTTGGGGTTTGCTAGAACCCTTGCGTCTGGGATACGTGTTGCTCCGTTGGCACGGTTTCTTAGCAGTCTAAGGCTGCTGTGAAAGAATTTCCGTAACTTTGTATTAGTCTTGTTAAAGTGAATGAATCAATCAATAGGTAAATTTTATTTCAGATCTGAGACTTTGTTGAATACAATAGAATTAATGATTTTAATTGTTGGAGAAGGTTTCCAACAATAGCAAGAAATCTTCAGCTATTATACCATACTGGCAGTATGAGGGGATTCCTCTTTCAAGCCCACTTGATTAAACCAGCCATTTTTTCTTTGCTATAAATGCTTCAAAATATTCAGTTTTTCAAAAGGCAGCAGGCTCAACAGAGCAATGTGGCAAGTAACTATGAAATCTTGACAAGTTCATCGCTGACTTTTCAGGTCCTATGCACAAAATTAAAGCCAGCGGCAGAATGGTTTCACTGACAAATAAAGTTGGTGGCAAAATTGCATGTTCTGGATAACATGATCTGGCTTCTAAAGCCCAACCCCATTCTTAGGGCTTTTCCCTTACTTTGAGGGAAAAGTCTTTAGAACAAGGTTGGGTTTTTGGCCAGGGCTCCTGGCATTGTGTCCATGAATAAAACACTCTTCTCACACAGTACCTTTCTTTCGCAGTGGAGTACCCCATATAGGCACTTTACACAGATGGGTTTCTCAAAAGGGTACACATCTTCCCACTCTTTCTGTCTGGAGGAGGGGTACTATATCTTCCTGTTAAGAATCTCTGATTATAATGGGTGTCTGGAAAACCCGAATAGCGAATAGCAAATAGTCGCGAATAGTCCCGAATAGTGCGAATAGTCTCGAATAGTGCAAATAGTAGCGAACAGTCACGAAAAGTGGCGAATATTGAGGGATAGTCGTCCATAGTTACCACTTTAGATTTAATATCCAGCGTTAATTAATTATCCAAATAAGCAACAGAATTTCAGTGAATTTATTACCTTTTTTTCTCCAGACTCAGGCTAGTAGGCTGTCCATTGCTGACATTAAGAAAACAGAAAACACAAGGATAACCTAATAAAGATGTATTTACGCTTTTGCAGCGGTTAAAACAGAAGAAATTACCCCAGACACGTTAATAAAGGTTTTTGTTTGTTTGTTTATTTGTTTGTTTAGAAACTGTGACCTTTTGTCCTGATAAGCATCTGTGCTTTTAGCGGAAAAATCCCTTCCTAAGTTGCTACGAGGTTGACTGCGAGATACTGGGTACCCTATTTGTTACTATTTGCCACTATTTGCCACTATTCTCCACTATTCGCCACTATTCAAGACTGTTCGCCACTATTCGCACTATTCGTACTATTCGCTATTCGCTATTCGGGACTATTTGCTGTTCGCTATTCACGACTATTCACTATTCGCTATTCAGGTTTTCCAGACACCCGATTATAAACAATCATAATCAATCAATATTGGTATATTTGATCCTTCTTTAACTTTTCTTTTTCTCTGGTTTTGCCAGGCGATGAAAAGAGGATGTGATCATATGGTTTGTTCATCAGGTATTATTAAAGTGAAATAATACCCTTGCCAAATTTGAATGAAATAGTAATACTATCCTTGTGATAATGTAACAGGTGGTAATGCTGGGCTAGCAGCAGCATACTCAGCCAGGAAGCTCAACATCCCTTGTACTATAGTGGTACCAGGGACAACACCAATGTTTATTGTGGAAAGGCTCCGGGAAGAACGAGCAACAGTTGAAGTCTGTGGCAAAGTAAGTTGTATGTTCAAGTTTGCCTGACCACATTTAAAGTTTGAACATCAAGATTTACACCCTAGGCATGCTTGTGAGCAGGCTCCGAGATAACATTCCAAGGCAAATGATGAAATCCATTTCTCACTAAGGGCCGACCAGCTAGTATGAGGCAAACTGAGACACTAATGCTTCAGTCAAGACATTTTTTTTCATTTTTTCTTGTTTCTTTTTTAAGAGGGAAAGTAGAATATTGCCATCAAATGAATAAGAGAATTTAACCAATGGCATTGTCTCTCAGTCATAATTTTTTCTAGCTATAGCCCTGTTTCCATTTATTTATAATTCTTGATTCAACATTGTTTATTGTCTGTACAGTCTTGGGATGATGCAGATGCAAGGACACGGTCACTTGCTGAACAGCCAGGTAAATTTATAGTTATTAATTAAAATCTGATCTCTCTTTACAATAAAAGGTGTTTTATGCATTAGTAGCATAATTTGTAATATTATCATGGTTGGAACACTTACTACTTTTCAGATGTTCCATTTTGGCTACTCCTTAAGCCTTCATTGGTTCAAAATTGATAGCCTTTATAAATACAGTTTTAGGATTGTCCTTTTGACAAGCCGTGATTATGATATACCAGCCCAAAGGTCACTCTCACTAGCCCCCTAAATTCCATCTCTTACCAACAGTGATCATTCTGTGATTTGAATACTCAAAAATCTACCAGGTCAACTGCAAAATCCTCTAGTTGTAGGCTAACAGACACTACTTTCTTTGCGCACTGGCGACTGCCCCAAGGATTTATTTTTCTGATACATTTTTATATACCCAGAGAAAAATGGGCACTGTAATAGTAAAATGTCTTGTCATTCNGCGAAACAGCTGCCAGAAAAGCCAGGCATGGTGGTGGTATCTGTTGGAGGAGGGGGCCTCCTGTCAGGAGTACTACAAGGCATGCATGATGTGGGATGGACTGATGTCCCCCTTGTTGCCATGGAAACCAAAGGAGCACATAGTTTTGATGCAGCCATCCAAGCTGGGGAGCTGGTTACGTTAGATGCCATAACCAGGTGGGTGTCTGAGAATGACAGTTATGACATGAATAAGGTACAGCTTCGAAATACTGGCATGTTGGTTGGCTTTCAAAAAGAAAACTTAAGAAGAAAAATTTTTTAGGGCAACTGAATTGAATTTTTATCAAGCTAATAAAGGAGATAAAAGAGAATCATCTAAAGAGGACCCTACTCTTGCAGACTGTTATGTTGAAGTACATTGAGTTTAAGTGTGTTTTGTGTAACAGGCTCGGAGCGAAAGGCTAAGAGTATTTATGTGACTAGAATTTGAGGAACGGAATGTTCAAGGCCCGGATACACGGTGCAGTGGCTAAGCTGCATGCTCATTCCGCCCTAAAATTATTACGCTTAATTAATGCTGCCGAAGTAGAATCTAATTCCACTTAGGTAAAACGTAAGTCTGCATACGAGCCAAGTGGCCCATCAGGCGGGCGCTTATCTCCGGTTTCTGTAGCATGAAGCAGCTAGGAGTATTTCTACTCCCCCTGGATGAGATGCTGGTCTATCGCAGGGTTACCCCCAGCATTAAATTCGCCGGTATTTATACACCTGGGTGGAGAGAGGCACTGTGTGTGTAAAGTGTCTTGCCCAAGAACACAACATAATGTCCCCGGCAGGGCTCGAACTCGAACCGCTCGATCCGGGAACGAGCGCGCTAACCACGAGGCCACTGCACCTCCCACACTCGTTGCACTTACGCGCTGCATGTTTCCTCTGTTGGCAACTTTGCCGCAGCGGCGTGCAGAATAGAACTTAAAATAAAATAAAAGGAAGAAAATTATTTGCTAAGGGTTACGGGGGTTTTCAATTGAGTGTCGTTAAACCAAAACCAAAGTAATCACGTGCACTCTAATCAACAGAAAGGAAACAGACCATCTAATAAACCAATCAATACTCGAAGCAAATACATGTAGCTAACACAAAGCGCGAGAAAAACGTGTGCGGCAGAGTCAAGAGAGTCGTGCTTGGTGTTAGTTTTACTTCTGATTGGATGAAAAAGTGGCGCGAGTTTTTAAGCCAATCGTGTAGCGTAGTAATGAAAAACCAAGTACTTTCGACACTCAAGTAACTCACTCAAGTGGAAACCGCATCGTTTCTATTTATACTGACGTGTAAGGTACCAATTTGAAAATCAGACTTTTATTCGCGAGAAGGTTCAGAACCTTGAAAAAAAAAAACAATCTAGTTACCGTAATGAAAAAAGTCACATCCATCCGACAGAAGCGCTAAAAATTTCGCTGTTAACACTGTCGACACTGTACGTGAAAGTAACGAGTTCCCGAAAGGAGCAACTACCAACGCAGCTTGACGTGATACGAGAAACAATGAAAATAACACAAACAACTAGCTCTGCCAAAGTGATCTGATATTTGTTTAGATTTAACGCTTGGTCCAAAGGTAGTATCATAACTCGGTTTTTGATGTAATGTAAATTACTTTCAACAAGATTTATCTTTTTTCATCTCTCCAGTTATTGAAAACATCTTTATTTATAGAGATGGATCGGCTCACGTATGGTACACGATCTAACTATCCCTAAAGTATCGACCCTTTCCTAGTTGCGACGCTTCGAAAGTAGCGATAGAAAGAGGTTTCTAAAGCCGAAATATCATTGGAACCACAAGCACATCACCTCGACGAGGTGATATGCTTCTGTTGGAACTTAATGGTACGTGACGTATGGAATATTTTTGGTTGGATGTTGGATGTTGGATGTTGGATGTTGGATGTTTATAGTGGTCGCTGCACTGAGCTACAACTAGCTAGTGTTCAGGCATGCCACTTAACTGAAAGAAACAAATATTGCAAATAAACATAACAGGCTTAAAAATCCCAACTGGCGGGAGGCAGACCAGTTGGCTATTTACACGCATGACCGAGGAGTTGAACTGGGGTCTACTAAGAAACAACTCCAGCTTAGTGGTCAGCTAAGTGGTAAGCTAACAACTCCACTAAGCTGGAGTTGTTTCATGGTAGACCCCAGTTCAACTCCTTTGATGTTTGCTTAATTAAAACCAATTAATGTTTAGAGGTCAGGAGGTTTCAACCAAGTGTTTTGAAAGAAATCTGGATTTTGGCTGGCATTGCTTTTCTACGCTCTGTGCGCCACCAACTCAGCCAATCTGATGCACACCAGAACTAATCGCGACTTGGTCACATGCGTTTTCCCGCGCTTGGCGCCGGTCACGTGCATTTACTTCGAGTTTTCATTGGTTCCTTGTGTTGTTCATGATGGGTGTGATTGGCTGTTTGTCTATTTGCTCCGGTTTTGTGACGCTCAAGTAAAAACCGCTCTGTAAACTTGTTTCGAGCTCTTGTTTCTCTTTAATTATCCACAGCATAGCGACATGTCTTGGTGCGAGAACAGTGGCCGCTAAAGCACTAGAGTGGACTAAGAACCACAAGGTTATTAATCACGTGTGTAGCGACGAAGAAGCTGTATTAGCATGCGAAAGATTCGCTGGTAAGTGAAAGTTACTTCGTGTTTGACTCTAATCCTGATATAAATAAATTTTAGCTTCACTGCACATTATAAGCGAATGAATGATGAAATAAGTCCGAATGCTGAGAAGAAGTGCGTATGGACCGGACAAGCTATTTTACTGAATGAAAGTCACAACAAGGTTCAAACATAAAACTAAAATTTTAAATTTTACATAGATGTTTCGACAGAAACTTCTGTCTTCTAAAGGCTAGCAGAAAAAGCGTTGCCTGAAACGGACTCGTGAGCGCTCCATCTTCGCGTTCTATACTGACAATTTTCGAACACTTGTGGATTCTCCTTTCCATCTTGGACCAGAACGTGTTTGCTATATATTAACGTGCGTTATTCATGATCAGTGGAAGTGGTCAAAACGATTGCAAATGCACATGTAGAGCTTGTTTGCTGTTGCCGCCTTAAGTTGCCGCCAAAAATTTTCTTCTAATAGTTCTCTCGTATTCGTGAAATCTTCGTCATCTATTTGAAAAATTACGCTCTTGAATGTTGAAAATGCATAGAGAATTTGTCCCATTATTGTTAGTTTTTCCCACGTAGTTTGGTTTTCGCTGTATTCCTGTAACGTTTCCTTATAAAGTTAAGACTCGAACATTTTGTTTCAAGCAACCTCGTTCCAGAGTCTCTGAGGACAGTAAGGATAGAGACTCTGGTAAAGAGACTGCGATTCAAAGTCTTGCAAAAAACATGTGCTAAAACCCGGATGTGGCGTTGACCGCTGTGTGACTTGGGGCTCAAACGGCCAACTTCTGAAGTCAAATTCAATTTTGATGGCTTTTCTTTCAGATGATCATCGTATGTTAGTTGAACCGGCCTGTGGCGCCGCCCTTGCGTGTGTGTACGAACGTCTTTTCAAAGCGTGGCAGGAACAGGGAAAGCTAGGGGAACTAAAATCCACTCTTGTTATTGTTTGCGGCGGGAATTTAGTGTCAATGAAGGCAATGAAAGAATGGAAGGATAAACTTGGNAGCACAACTGACATTACATTTAAAAAAATTATGGCAGTAAATGCGAATGTAAAAGCACAAAAAGTGCAAAAGGAACAGAAGCCTTTCCCGATTGGCCCCACACCGTAGCTCAAAACGACAAAAGAAATGTCTACTTTAGAAATGTCGAAATATTTTAAACCGTCCAATGAAAGTACCACAAAGCCTGTCACTATATAAACCAATCAAAGCTCGAGGAATAACACTTGCAACGGTTGGCAAGCGCGGGAAAAGTAAGCAAAACAAATCACCACTTGTACAACTCGAACCTGATTGGCTGAAAGCAAATACGCACCTCGCTTTGACTGGTTACAACACGTCGCTCACTTAACTCTAAAATGCGAATTTTTTTCTAACGAAAATCATTAAAACACGCTCTATAAAGATGAATTCAGCATTTTCCCTGTAAAAAACGCAAAGTCAGGTTTTTCGCTTTTTTTCTTTTTTTCCCTTGGCCTGAAATGTTGAAAGTCATAGTTGCAGACGTTATTGTATAAAAGAACTTCATAGTCGATTGTGGTAAAAAGTTATAATCCTATTTTCAAAACGTTCATCATTACTTTTCCCACAGAATTAAATATTTCCGGCCAATGCGACCAATGCTATGACAAAAATAGCATGTAAACAATTTCGTACTACAAAAATATATTTGTTCTTTTGAGCAAAGATTGGAATAAAATCTGAACATTTAAATATCGTGTAAATTTGCCTAGATCTACTTTTTCTCTTAAAGTGAAAACAGATATAATTAACTCGGTTTAATCAGAACAAATGAAAACAAACCTCTTACTTTTTGACGCACCAAAATATCATCAACTTACAATTTATCAACTGTCCACTTATTCTTAATATATTTGTAAAAACGGTGCTCATTCATTTCCAAACCTCCCCGATCATTTATCTTCCTGAAATAAGGTGTCGTTCGAAATTGCATACCAAAATGAAGCAACGCTCCATCTATGAACTCTTCTATATTAAATTCAACTCAAAAACCTTGCAGAACGAAAGGGTTGAAACAATAAACAATATTTCGGCTGTTTTCTTTTGGTCATACGTAGCTTCCCCCTGTAAAGCAAAGAAAACATTTATGTCAACGCGGTATAATAACAAGTGTAATAAATATCCTAGTCTTTCTGTTGCCGTGCTCTAAACTAGCACTCACATCAACATACGCGCATGTGTAAACACGCAGGTGGACGAGCGAAAGAGAGGAGACTGGTTTTCATTACCAGGTCTCTTGCAACCTTTAAGTGACTAGGTCCTAAGAGGGATTGTAAACAAGGATATAGGAAAAATATGTAAGCAAACGAACTGTCAGGTTAATTTCATTTGTACTAACAAGAGCGCTAGTCAAAAGGTATTTAGCCGAGTGGCTCACACAGCTTCGGGTGCAACCTCTGAAAAGAAACAGAGACACGTTGATTGCATGTATTGATGGCACTCCCGGTTTACAAAGGCAAGCGTTTTGTTTCGAATGAATTGCTATTCCCCAAGTGTTAAACCCTGAAAATCCATGAAAAATTGGAATCGTTGCTTTACATCGCTTGGCTCAAATTAGCTATCTTGTAGCTTTCTTAATATCCAAGCTTAGAGCTATATCGAGGGGAAAAAATTGATGTTCAAATCCTGACAAAGGCGGTGGAGGCTAGCCTCTTAATCCTGTGGCATTAATTCACCCACACAATTGGAATATAAAACTCGACAAATTTCGTGAAAGTTTACATATAAATAGCATTTTTCAAAGCACCTACCGCGAGGCAAGGTTCTCTTTTTCCTCTCAAACTCCTTCATAAAACTCGGGACCTGGTCTGTGGAATCTTCCACCGGCCCTCTCTGTACCACGATCGGTTGAGTTCGTCGCGTGTTCGCTAATCTCCGCTGCCACTCGGGAGTTTCCGGAGACCGCTCGCGTTTATCAGGTTGCACTTGACTTGGCGACATTTCTCTGCGTTTTCTCCTCTCAGCGAATTCTTTTTTCCACCGAGGCACCTCAGGAGATGTCTTGGGTTCGTTTTCTTTGCGGGACGTTTGTACGCCATTCACTGCAACTCGCTGTTTTCGTTTCTCTGCCAGTTCCCTCTTCCAGGCTGGAACGGCAGTCACGTTTGAAGTATGGGTCTGTTGCGTCTGATCTGCAAAAGGAAAGGGAATACATGTTACATAGGACACGTGACCACATCGCTTGGTTTTAAGGCACAAAAGTGCCCTTCCCACCCATCCCCTGCCAACTCAAAACGTACGACTCAAAGCCAGGTTGTCCGAAAGCCAATTAACTCTTGCTCTCGTTTAGAAGTTAATCTAAGTTTTATTTCTCTTAAAACCCATTTGTTTTCCATGTCAGCTTTACATTATAGTTCCGAAATCAGCCACTAGGAGCGCATACCTTTGTACAATTCCCAGATTTGAATCCAAACATTTTATGTTTATCAGTGGATTAGCTCAATAATACTTCAATCACCAAAGTCCATTCTCCGGAATCATTTTTTTTGCAGAAAATGAAACAATCGCCCATCTCCTAGAATAACGTTTGAGATTCGAGCCGAATCTTTCCATGCTGATGGCATTACAGAAAAAAAACAACTGTGTTTCTTTGATTGATTCTTGCGCTGTCCTTCCTATCAGCCCATCGGAGATACCGTTGTCTGCAACTAAGCACAAAAACGTCGCGAAAAAACTTGATCTAAATAGATACCAAACGTTCCATAATTCGTTATCACTCATTCGAAGTTCGGCGGACCATTTACGTCGATTTTTCGCGCTCAAAGTCCAACACAGCTAAAGTCGCAGGTTATATCGAGTTGTCGAAATATTTTCAATGTATAATTCAGTACAAAGGAAAATTCAACATGGATTTCCTTTATCATGTGAACTCCTACTTTGAAGTTTAGTCCATACATTTTGGAAACATTTTCACAGCACGATCAAACGTTTCGACCAGCTTCGGATGACTGAAGACGACTGATGGAACGTTTGATATCCGTTTAGATCAGGTTTTTTCGTCATGTGTTTAGCTCGGATGCACATCAACGGTTTTTACTATTGCATCGATCTTTTGGAGCTACATCACATGTATGGAAGGTTTCCGGTCAAATCTCAGTCAGTTAGCGCGCGAAGACAGTCATTACGCTGTAAAATTCACCTCTGATTATTTCTCTACGTGAAGATCCAACATTCCTCTTCTTTTCAATGAGATCAATCTTCCACTGAGGTAAGACATCTCCACTGTAACTCGGTCTGTAAGACGAGTCAAATGTCTCCGCTCTTTCTCGCGTATCACCGCCTCTCCGGGGTTCCCTCTGGTCCCTAGGCGACGTCACGTGACTGGACGGTACGGTCGACGAAACAGGCTGGGGAAATTTCCTCTCAACTTTAGCATGTATCAACTCCACACTTGTTCGCCTAGCTTTTGACAGGTCCGGCACTTCAGAAGCCGTAACAGTCACTGTTTTCGACCTGTTGGTCGGTTTGGGTCTTGTTTTCGGGGTGATTTTGTGAGGCGCACTCACGTAATTCGACGAAACTGTGACTCGCGAGCCATTCAGACGCGACGAAGAACCTTCGGAAACCCTCGGCTCCGATCGTGAAATCGTCGGTTTCTCCGAAGTTATTGGTACAAGAGAACGGACGAAGTGATGCTCGCGAGAATTTTTAGCTGCTCCCGCTGACCGCGAGCTTTGATCTAACACGTCACCGTTTTCCGAAAATGATTGCGTGACCGGTCTCATCGGTTGAGAGCTAGAAGTCATCACTTCGGAAGATATTCGTGTTGCCATCGGCATTGTTTCGTTATCGGAGATCGAAGAACCCGACGGTCTTGGATCGTAGGGTTTAGCAATGGGTTTCAAACGTACCGGTTGAAACTTCCCTGACAAGTCCTCAGTGTTATCATTGACAACTGGCTCCGGCTTGGGTATAGGACGTAAAAACACGTTGTGATGTCTACTACTATCACTCTTTTCCTCGACTGGGCTGTCTACTGGATCCGGTTTAGACACAGGACGTAGACAAAAGTTTAACGATTTATCAGCATCGTTGTCTTCATCTGATTTAGTCGCGACTGCTTCCAGCTTTCGCACAGGACGAAGCATAACATTGTGAAGTATGTTCACCCCTGCATTGCTATCTGATTTATCAATGACTGGTTCAGGTTTATGAGGCAAAGAACGAAGAACAGGGCCGTTCTGTACCGGTTTATCCTGTTCTCTGTCGTTCTCTCCTTGTTGTTTGGTTTTATTGTGTCTCCGCTGTTCGTGAAGTTTCCTCCGTGCCTCCGCCTCGACCAGCCAAGCCGGTTTTTCCGGTTCCTTCTCCACTCTTTCTTCCTTGGCTGCCATGTTCCTCTTACTCTCGGCAGCTGCACGGACAATTTCGGCAGCGCTGCCCTGGGAGCGTTGCTAGAAAATAACAGACGTGAACAAAACAATGAGCATAAGGATTTCAAAAAAATACTGTTTATCACCCCAACCGTTTAAGAAGTCAGTTTAAAAAAAATGTTGTTGAACGTCATGCACCTAGCTACAACTAGCTAGTTTTCAAGCATGCCACTTCAATTGAAAGAAACAAATGTTGCAAATAAACATAACAGGCTTAAAAATCCCAACTGGCGGGAGGCAGACCAGTTGGCTATTTACACGCATGACCGAGGAGTTGAACTGGGGTCTACTAAGAAACAACTCCAGCTTAGTGGTCAGCTAAGTGGTAAGCTAACAACTCCACTAAGCTGGAGTTGTTTCATGGTAGACCCCAGTTCAACTCCTTTGATGTTTGCTTAATTAAAACCAATTAATGTTTAGAGGTCAGGAGGTTTCAACCAAGTGTTTTGAAAGAAATCTGGATTTTGGCTGGCATTGCTTTTCTACGCTCTGTGCGCCACCAACTCAGCCAATCTGATGCACACCAGAACTAATCGCGACTTGGTCACATGCGTTTTCCCGCGCTTGGCGCCGGTCACGTGCATTTACTTCGAGTTTTCATTGGTTCCTTGTGTTGTTCATGATGGGTGTGATTGGCTGTTTGTCTATTTGCTCCGGTTTTGTGACGCTCAAGTAAAAACCGCTCTGTAAACTTGTTTCGAGCTCTTGTTTCTCTTTAATTATCCACAGCATAGCGACATGTCTTGGTGCGAGAACAGTGGCCGCTAAAGCACTAGAGTGGACTAAGAACCACAAGGTTATTAATCACGTGTGTAGCGACGAAGAAGCTGTATTAGCATGCGAAAGATTCGCTGGTAAGTGAAAGTTACTTCGTGTTTGACTCTAATCCTGATATAAATAAATTTTAGCTTCACTGCACATTATAAGCGAATGAATGATGAAATAAGTCCGAATGCTGAGAAGAAGTGCGTATGGACCGGACAAGCTATTTTACTGAATGAAAGTCACAACAAGGTTCAAACATAAAACTAAAATTTTAAATTTTACATAGATGTTTCGACAGAAACTTCTGTCTTCTAAAGGCTAGCAGAAAAAGCGTTGCCTGAAACGGACTCGTGAGCGCTCCATCTTCGCGTTCTATACTGACAATTTTCGAACACTTGTGGATTCTCCTTTCCATCTTGGACCAGAACGTGTTTGCTATATATTAACGTGCGTTATTCATGATCAGTGGAAGTGGTCAAAACGATTGCAAATGCACATGTAGAGCTTGTTTGCTGTTGCCGCCTTAAGTTGCCGCCAAAAATTTTCTTCTAATAGTTCTCTCGTATTCGTGAAATCTTCGTCATCTATTTGAAAAATTACGCTCTTGAATGTTGAAAATGCATAGAGAATTTGTCCCATTATTGTTAGTTTTTCCCACGTAGTTTGGTTTTCGCTGTATTCCTGTAACGTTTCCTTATAAAGTTAAGACTCGAACATTTTGTTTCAAGCAACCTCGTTCCAGAGTCTCTGAGGACAGTAAGGATAGAGACTCTGGTAAAGAGACTGCGATTCAAAGTCTTGCAAAAAACATGTGCTAAAACCCGGATGTGGCGTTGACCGCTGTGTGACTTGGGGCTCAAACGGCCAACTTCTGAAGTCAAATTCAATTTTGATGGCTTTTCTTTCAGATGATCATCGTATGTTAGTTGAACCGGCCTGTGGCGCCGCCCTTGCGTGTGTGTACGAACGTCTTTTCAAAGCGTGGCAGGAACAGGGAAAGCTAGGGGAACTAAAATCCACTCTTGTTATTGTTTGCGGCGGGAATTTAGTGTCAATGAAGGCAATGAAAGAATGGAAGGATAAACTTGGGCTCAGTTAAGGTGGGGCCGGAAAACGTCATGTCATCGCCGGGTCGGAAAGTCAAGGAATGGTGTCTTTCTCTACAAGGGATCTTCGGAGATAATCGGAACTAAATCGGAAACCGTCGTGAGAACTCTAAAAATGCTTGAGCTCTTTTCCTATTCTACAAATTATTCCGCTGGTTTGCGTCCATCCTCGGAGACCTAGGGGCAGCTAGTCGGGTAAACTTTCGCCCGACAATATCGCGTCGTCTCGACTAGCTGCCCTTGGATCTCCGAGGATGGTTTTCGGCTCATTCTCCCAGGTTTAACCACAACAATATATAATAGATGATATTTCAATTATGGTGCTATTCGACTGCAAATATAGCTGTCATAACTCGGGAAGAATTCAATGTTGTAAAAAGGTATTTAATGGAACGTCAAGTCCTTCTTCATAATGTAATTCTAAGCATCGATCATTTTTAATAGTTTCAAGTCAACCGTGACGGTTTGACCGAAGGAAATCGTTAGTACTTTTTAAAAGGTAATAAAATGCATATAGTAAAACGGGGAACTTTTCTCACAATGAATACTTTTAACTCTTACCTTGTTTGCGTAAAAGGCAAAACATTAAAAAAACTTTTTTACCACGTGGTGGGTTGTTGAACTTAAAGAACTGGAGGTCGCAGGTTTTAAGAAAAAGGTCATTTAGATGTTAAGTTTTAAGTACACGTATATTGTAAGCTAGGAAGAGAAGTAAGTGGTTTTTTGTTGTTGTTTGCTTTGCTGACCGTAGGGGTTAATAACAACCGCGCCAACCGCTCCCTGATTAGGAGCTTAAGCAGTGACGACAACAACGCCAGGAACGACGCCTAACAAAAGATGGATTTATATTTTACCTTCGAATTTCGTAACTATCTGGATCTGGTCAGTAAGCCAATCGGTCCATCAACGTGCTTAAACTAAATATGTAATGCTAGCGTTCAATTCCGAAAAGAAATAAGAAAAATTTTCCGTCGACGTTCTCCAAAAAACGCAAAACTTGGTTATTTCACGTTCTACAGAGAACGGCGAGGAAATGTACAAAGATTTATATAAGTATTTTTGGTGACGTTTTCGTTGCCGTTGCCGTCGTGGTTTTCTTAAGCTCTCTATTAAAGAGTTTAAGAAAACCACAACGGCATCGGCAACGGCAACGTCGCTGAACTAAAGGTTTGATGAGCAGAAAAATGGCTGTGCACGTACGTTATAATTCTTGGTACATTTCTTTGCCGTCCTCTGCAAAACAACAACGGGAAATGACCACATTCTTGGTTGTCAGGAGAATGTGAACCACGACAGCTAATTTTTCAACGTTTTATTTCAATTTTATCGCTGTGTCCCAGATTCAGTTTCGTGATAGTTTTGAGTGAAAAACAAAGTAAATGACTTCAAAGTATCGCGAGATTCGCAGGTAAAATCAGGAGCCATAATCGTGGACGGTCTCCGTCCCCCATTATTAATCGACGTTGTCTTCGACGTCGCTGTCTAGATTATTTAAACCTCCTTATGATTCTAATTCACACCTCGGTTTCAATTCGGAATCTGATTCGTTTAGGGGCTAAGGACTGACTTGATTGGTCAATCTAACCACTGTGATTCACTGTGAAATGTGAGCAAGATAATCGAATGATAGCCTTTCCTAGGCAAAGGAAGTGAAAATCCCTTCTGCAACTGCCTTCCGTTAATTTCTCCCACAATCTCAGAATTAACCTGGGAGGGGCTATTTACTACCCACTGGGAAACAATTAAAACCACCAAGTCAAAGGACAAAAAAGATAAATTTATATCAAAAAGAAAAAGACTGGACAAAGACAGCTGACATAAATTTTATCAGAGACATTGAAAATTAAACCACTTATGACAAACGTGATTGACACGTAAGTTACAACGTGGAAAAAGCATGACTATAGATTTATCACTTCAGTCCTTGTGTATACAAGCGATATCTTTACAATCCTTTTCTATGGACCATGATAAGACGATTATTTCCTGCAAAGAAAGAAGAAATAATGTGAGTGTCGTTGCCGCCATCAGACCACCCGTAACCTAGACTCGGCATGTATATACAGCAGAAGCAAGGCATAGACAAAGAAGTTCCATTTCTTACTCTCATTCGCAGCCATTCACGCAATAGGGAAAAGCGTTGCGTAGCCTGCAGAAAAGGCGTAATTTTTTTGCGTATTTTAGGAGAACAGCTCTTCCCATCGCGCGCGACTCGCGCTTCGCGCTCGCCTCGCGTTCGCCTCTGTTCGCCTAAAATAACGCAAAAAAATTACGCCTGTTTTGCAGGTTAAGCGTTGCGTGACAACCCAAGGAAGAAGTAAGAAGAAGTAAGAAGTCTGACTGACCAAGTTACAAGAGCGAAAGAAAGTGACTTTTTTCTTATCGTTGTTTCTTTGAATAACGTTACAGGCTGTGTCATGTTTAAGATCATGACTGAAGCGCTCTGTTCATTGGCTCGTCGTGAAAACTCTGGTCACGCGCTATAACCAATCAAACCAAAGAAACTGTCTTCTCGACCAATGGGATATTAGAACAAAAACCGCGTGACGTCGTTTCCCGCGTTTAAATGTGATTACAGTCATGTGATTACCGTAGCTAAATTGGCTTACCAACGGTAGCATTAGAAATAGTTCATTGCTTAACGTTACAGAACGGCGAGGTCAGTTCAACTTACGAGAAAAGGCGATAAATTCCGTAAGAAGTAACAGCACCAGCGGCAACCATCACACAGGTTTTTCTGTAAAAATGAAAAAAATCCTTCTTCAATCAAACCATAGCCAATACTTGATACTAACAGTCCATGTAAAAGTGTTGTGAAGGCGGCCTAGTGGCAAGTCAACATACTAGCTGATAGTCCACTTAATAGTCCACTGATGGTCCACGTTTTCACACTAGAAACACACTTACCGTGCAAGACAAGCGATGGTTGGTTCAAGTATGAAAAAGGCTATCATAAGACTTTCTTCATGAAAACTCACCCCAAGGTGTCCTCGGGAAAAATCCTCTCTGCTAGTTCTTTGATGTGAATGAAGCTGTCAGCGGTATCAACAGTTGTCAAATCCGGGAACTGCTCAGCCACTGTAACTTCGCCTTCTTCCCTCTCGTCTGTCAAAGGTGTCTTTATGGCAACACGTGGTGCACACAACTCGGGTTTGGTTTGTTCAACTGCCGTGACCAGTATCTCTCCAATAGAACTATCGCTGTCGGAGAGTACAAGAGATTTGCAGGGAGTGATAGGGCAGGGCTCTTCTGCAGGGACATAACACTCTTCCTCGTCTTCATCATTTTCCGATTCAGTTTCCTTTTGTCTTTCCATTTGGTCATTTTCGTACTATGGATAATAAAATAGTCACAATATTATGCCATGGCGAGATTGTAATCCATAATATCTTGACCATGACTGACATCAGGAGAAAAAAACATTCTGAAAGTAGAAACCTCAGTCCTTAGGTGGACGTAAAAACAAATATATTTTGCTGTCGCTTTAGTTTTTGCTCTTACCAGCGGCGCTTCCATTCAACCAGAAATTCCGGAATTTTAGAAACGGAGGCAATGGCCTCGTTTGATATCTTAATATTCTAACATGGCTCCAAAGCTTTCAGGACATTACAAATTTTTTTAAAGTTTCTTTTGTCCCTCAATTCCTAAAAGAGACTTGGATGCAAAAAAACACCCCAAATATAGAAGTTTGTCCTGAAAGCCTCGCAGCCACGTTAGAATGTTGATATATCAAACGTGGGCTATTGACCATTTCCGAGTTGTCTTCTGCTTCGGTGTCAAAACGAGTCTCCGTGCGAAATCATGCATATGCAAATGAGTTCCGCCTGCAGGTTCATTTTCATGTAAATCAAACTCGTTTTCTTATGAAAGGTTTTGCGAGGGGACTTGCTTTGAAACCAGGAGCCATAATCGGATTATGGCTCCTGTTTGAAACGGAATTTGTGATCGAATGGAAAGCGCCCCAGAAGAAGTAGGACTGGAAACGACTTCTGTTTACTGATTGTTTTTTCATTTTGGACAATTTGTCGTGTGACCCCATACTGACCTGCTGTAAAAGAGATTCTTTGGATGGTATCAGAAAACACAGGAGCGGGATCACAGGTAGAACGATTAGAGTGCTGTACAATAACGGATAACCAATTTCGTAGGGCGCGTTCCTTTTCCAAACTGAAAAGAAAGGAAATATTTGCAACAGCCGTTTCTTAGCGCATAAACATGGTAAAAAAAAAATAGATAGAAAATACATAATGAAACAAGACATTCAAGTATCCGGGGAGTGCCCCCTTAAATGAGCTATATAGGTATGGTATAGCCAAAGGGTATGGTTTTTTAGCCGTTTTAGTAGGATTTAGCGCATGAAGTTCAGCCATTGTCTTCTGAAATAGGGTATAGTTTGTGCACTCTGGCCTTGAATTAGGTATGTTTAGTATGAGTGTTTTTAGAAGTGTCAAGTCTGCAATAGGGCATCAAAATGTTGATCGGTGTGAGATAGGGTAATTGTTTCAAGAAGCTCAACGCACACCTCCATTCAGTTTTTCTGTGAGTACCCCACCCGGGCCCCGGGACAAGGAAGGAGCGCGATACAACCTTAAAGGCTCCCAGGGCACCGTTTTAAGAGGTCTGGATGTTTTAACTTATGGGAGCCGCCCAGGGGTTTGGGGTGACAAGGGAAAATGATCATCTATTTCAAGGGAACAAGGGATATTTTTAGATTAATTTGAGGGAACAAGGGATGTCTCTACTAATAAAGGGAACCTTGACAAAGAAATTTTAGGGAACAACAGAATTTGGTGAAAGGGAACAAGGGAGAAAAAAGAGAAATTTCAAGGGATCAAGAGAACGTGCTAGAATTAATTGCCGCATCAAAATTTTAACTGTCAGTTGAGAAGTAACGCGTGTCTTTGCTTATATCTAGGTTCTGAGATCTGCAAAATTTACTGATAGCCGAGAAATGGGATGAAATTTTAATTTATAGCTGAGAATAATCGCCGAAAAATTCAACTGATAATGATTGAGATTTCAGCAACCCCATCCAGGCTTGTTGTCCAATCAAGCAAGTGCACAGAGGCCCGAATCTTTTTTCCATACGTCAGCGCCTAGACAAACCTACCTTCAGAGATCCAGTGAAGCTGTGCAGCAAGATTAAACCCTGCAAAGGTCGGAAAAGATTACACATATAATGACTGTTAATTTAATTTAGTCTCCAAAGAAATTAATTTCGCGGTGCCAAGAAAAGTTTACTACAAAATTGCGCAATAATCGACAAGCTGATTAATCTTACTGCCGCGAAAGAATACTACAGTACCATATACACTGAAATCCTTTCCAAACGGGAAATATTTGGCATCAAACACGATTAAATATTGTTTGGTGACCAAACATTTTCCCGTTTGGACACCTTGTTTGATCGTGTTGAATCGTGTTTGATCAGTAAAATTTGAACGACGTCAAACAGTTGATCAAACATTGTAAAACATTTTGTTCGTTTGGACGGTGATGAAACATGTTTGTTACTACTTGGCCACTCTGTACAACATCAACATGTGTGGTCACCAAACAATATTTGATCCTGTTTGGTCGCCAAACATTTCTCGTTTGGACAGGGCTTAAGGTTACTTCCCACCTTCGCAGGTGCCCTTCGGGAAAAAAATCGTACGCGCGCCAGTTTCATTAAAACCCCAACAAACTATATATCATAAGAAAGCTTAATA